ATAGGAAAAGGATGAGGTAGATAGATAGATAGATAGATAGATAGATAGATAGATAGATAGATAGATATATATATAGATAGATAGATAGAAACAAACAAGCAAACAAAAAGACGTAGATGGACAGATAATTATGAATAAGGTGAGATAGACAGATAGAGAGGGAGGGGGGCGACAACTAGACTGAGATAGATAAGCAGGTAGGTAGACTGACAGAGAGAAATATTGATCAATAATCTGGCTCTCAGGCAAATGCCAGTAAGAAAAGTAAAACATCTAAAATGCGATAACATGAATATATATATATATATATATATATATATATATATATATATATATATATATATATATGTCAGTTATTTGCACATATGTTCTGGTGGAAACATGTCAGAGATCTGGTCGAGTGTATGTTGGACCCTCAATGATAACAAAATGCCGTTGCAAGGTTATTTACATTCAAAGCAAACCATGTTGCGCCTCGAATTCTCCTGCCGAACGCGTGTCAGATCCAAAGTTTACCGCTTACCGCTCATGTCAGTTCAGCTCTCGAACACGAGATTCATTCCTTGCTCCAGGTCTTTATATATATATGTGTGTGTGTGTATGTATGTGTGTGTGTGTATATATATATATATATATATATGTGTGTGTGTGTGTGTGTGTGTGTGTATTTGCGTGTGTGTATACATATGCGTGTATATATATATATGTGTGTGTATATATGTGTGTGAGTATATGTGTGTATATATATATATATAGTCTTGCAATGTCTGTCATTGTTTACATCTTCGTTCAGATATAACAATTTCTTTTGTTTATTCCTTTTCTTTGTTCCTCATTTTTTCCCCGCCATTCCGTTATTTTTGTCTGTTTCTTTCTTTCTTTCTTTCTTTCTTTCTTTCTTTCTTTCTTTCTCTTGTCCCCCACTCTCTCTCTCTCTCTCTCTTTCTCTCTCTCTATCTTTCTTCCCTCTATTCGTTTTCTGTCTTTCTCTTTTGTATTATTCATAGCTTTCACGTACTTTGGCCCTTCTTTCCTTCCTTATTTTCTTATAGCGAAATTCGCCTCTTCATAATCAATCCAGCATGTGCAGGTAGCGCTATGGTTATCGGTACTGATAGCCGAATCGGGGAAACTTGTTCGTTCCGTCCCATTCTGTTGCGTTGACTTTCGCAATTACACCCTGGGGAAAGGTACGAATCGACTTCTTCTCCCTCTACTTCTGGCTTCAGTAACATGGTAGATTTGTTTCTCTATATGTGGGTGGCAGCCAATCTAAACAGCTTACAAAATGACATTACTGCAAAGTTACATAGAGGTAACAAAATCGTTTTCTGTTATAGTGGGTTATCAGTTACAGTGAAGTGTATGTGTGTCGAAACAGATTAGTTTGATTTGGCCTTGTTAGTTAGATAGCCCACCATAAGAAGGGTATAAAACAAGAAAATCAAATTGTAAAGTGAAACAACAAATTTATATATATATATATAAATCAATTAAGGTCTTTACAAATAAAATTAATGTATTTTGGTTGATACAAGGTCGTCAAAATGTTCGTAATAGTCCTTGCAAGAATGAGTTTATATGTACGTAGGCAAGAACGTATGTGTGGATGTATGTATGTATGAACGTTATCGTAGGTAGGAATGCCTTTGAAGTAATCGCTCAGTCTTAAAATGTTCCGTTCGTTTATCAAGTATAAAAGAGGTGAGGGAAAATATAGATTAATAATAACGATCGCTTGACGTTTGTCAAGGCACGTGTTAATATGCTCGTCTCCTTCTCTCTGGTGACAGGCGAACTTGCCCGTCTTTTTATTTTGTTTATAGGGCTTGAAAAGGTTAATTGGGAAATCACTTTCGCATATGATTCGGACCATTCCATTGGACGACGAACAAACTTCGCGTCGGCTCGCGAAAAGGTCCGTAAAAGAATTTGTTTCTGAGAATTGAAGATTATTTGAATTTTGTTTTTAAATGTTTCCTAGTTTTCTAGTGGCTGAAAAACATTTCGCAATCAAGGTGTGAGATTTCACGAGTTTTGTTTTTGGATTCGCTTTTGCGTGTGTGTTGAGCAAAGTTTGTAAATTCGAGTCTTTTTTAATTTCTAACAAAATCAATGTGCTTAGCATTTGAATTTTAAATCTAGATCTTGTTTTGTTCACTACACAGTAAACTCTCCACACATGTCCGCGTAGTTACTTTGTAACGTGCCAGGTGGTCAGCAGAAAAGTGATAGCAAATACTCCGAAGATATTAAAACGTGCACTTCTCATTTAAATTAGTGATTCTCATTTTTTTTAAATACGGAATAAAGTTCTATATATTCTGTACATGTTTTTATGTGAAGAAATAGAATTTCGTGTTATTTGATCAGTTCGAAGGTTTTAAGCTACATTACTTTTTAACGTTAATATAAAGTTGCGATAACCTTAAGATGAACTGTCAGGGAAATACTTGATTCCAACGTTAAAATAAGGGCGCCACAGCATTACATATCCCCCTGACTAAAATGCAATGTACCTGCAACGTTACAAGAATTTATCTCGTTAGCTGAGAAATTCTGAATTCAAAAACCTGGAGAAGGCAACTGGAAAGTTCTTTCTTTTTATGTGCTACGCCCTTTCAGGACGTAGGCGATCATGGCTCTCCACCTCCTCTCTATCTCTTGCAAGCTCTCAATAAGTTCCTTCCGTCTGTTACCTCCCCCCAGAGCCCGTTCTATCAACCACTTGCTTAAGTCCGCCAGATATGTCATGCGTTGTTTCCCCTTGTCTCTCTTTCCCTCTATTCGACACGTGAGTATCAGATTCTCCAGGCCCTCATGGATAACAACTAGAAACTACAGCTGCTTATTTTCCAAGAGCGTATGGTAATTCACAGATAAATAAAATGAAACTGGGGAGGGCCATGATCACTTCTATCCTGAATGGAAATTAAAAGCAATTGTTACTTTATGAAGTCGCCACATTTAGTGCAGTCAGACACTTCAGTTTAATTATCCAGTGTTGTGGTAGGATCCACCTAATTTGCATAGTGGAGTACCGACCATATAAATATGGTTGGTACCGGGAAGACGGGGGAGGAATCAAGAGATTCAATCCAGAGACTCTGCCCGACAGCGACTAAGTCAGCACATTCTCCAGGAACGGTCTTCCCAGGAATATACAAAAGACTATATGTAAATATTGTGTACACTTTCTTGTTTCAGTACATTTTGTTCTAAGTACATTTTGTGTTGTATCATTATTCCATGCATTAGTCAAGTTTCAACATCCAGTATGATTGATTAATTGATTGATTCGTTTAACGACATATCAACTCTTCATGGGTCATTTAATACCGAAATTTAATTTTCTTGAGAAATTTGAAGTAATTTCTTAATTTTACTATAAATAGGTATTGTTCATCATTCTACTATGAATATATATTGTGGATCATCTTTATTACTATAAAAGTTTGGGAACGTTGCTTGTGTGTTTGCCAGAAGTCATGTACAGAGAGTGGTGAAAGAAAGATATAAATCTATTATCGGGTAGGAAGTAGGGGAGTGGGAGAGAACGAAATAGAGAAAAAAACGCTCTCTCTTTCCACTCACCTCTCTCTCTCTCTTTACACCTCTCTTTTTTCCACCTATCTCTTTTCACCTCTCTCTTTGTACTTGTCTCTCTCTTTCCACATCTCTCTTTCCCCTATCTCTTTTCAACTCTCTCTTTCCACATGTCTCTCTCTTTCCACCTCTCTCTTTTCACCTCTCTCTTTCCACCTCCATCTGTTCACCCCTCTCTTTGCACCTGTCTCTCTCTTTCCACCTTTCACTTTTCCCAACTCTCGTTTCACCTCTCTCGTTTCACCTCTCTCTTTTCACCTCTCTCTTTTCACCTGTCTCTCTCTTCACCTGTCTCTCTCTTTCTACCTTTTTCTCTCTCCCTCTCTCTTTTCACTTCTCTCTGTGCACCTGTCTCACTCGTTCCACCTCTCTCTTTTCACCTATCTCTTTCCACCTGTCTCTCTCTTTCCACCTCTCTCTTTCCACCTGTCTCTCTCTCTCCACTTGTCTCTCTCTTTCTACTTCTTTCTCTTTCCCCTCTCTCTTTTCACCTCTCTCTCTTTCCACCTGTCTCACTCTTTCCACCTCTCTCATTCCACCTCTCTGTTTTCAACTGTCTATGAAGGCGTGCGTGCTAATTTATATTTCAGCTTTCTTTAAACAAACAATATTTTAAATATTTCTATTTCAACTTTCTTCAGACAGACAATGAAAAGAAAATGTTGAAAAGCCACTTCAATGTTTTATAATCTGAACATTCATCGGGTAATATATATATATATATATATATATATATATATATATATATATATATAGATAGATAGATAGATAGATAGATAGATAGATAGATAACTAGACTCGTTTGAAAAACCTCGAATTTTTGATTTGCTAATCAAATCAATTTCGAGGGAAAAAAAGGTTTTAAAAAAAAGAAAGAGCTACAAACATGAACTTCTGCCGACAAAAAAAATCGCACAGATGCAGGTCTGAAGCCCAAAGAAAAAACCCCGATACGAGTAACAACTAACTAACAAAAGAGCTCAATACAACCGTAGAGCAAACCTAGATACACCTAGTGAGCCAGACAAACCTACCTAGGTTTCACCTAAACGGATCGTCAGGGAAAGTTTATTAACGAGGCAAAGAGAAACACATATTTTTAGGTGATAGCTAAAATCATACCACGTGACAAAAAAAAAAAAAACCTAAGTGGGGGGTAAATATTTATTCAACAGAAAAAAAAAAATCCTCAGTGGAAAGTCAATAACGGGAAAACGTCTATATCTATCTATATATATATATATATATATATATATATATATATATATATATATATAATATAAATAAAACAGACCACTTTATGGTTTAAGGTACCATTATAATAATTTATTTCACCAGAGCCCTTTTAAAGGAAGCTGGATCATCAGATAGCACTTCCAAAAATCTCTCTCTATATATATATATGATTTAAAAATACGATTTGTTTATACAGTAAGTACTTTTATTTCAACTTTCTTCAAACAGACACCTTTTTTAATGTTGAAAGCAATTTCAATAACTGCAGATAAATGAATTTTTAAAATATCTCTAATTTCACAAATTCTTCATGAAACTAAACGCAAACACCAATTTAACGGGGTGAACCGAAACGGGTCACGGGTCGTCTAGTTTTACTATAAATATAAAACATAAATATGTATTGTTGGTGATTTTTTTATATATAAAAT